CTTCTTGGTTCATGTATATGTCTAAAGTAAGAACAGAGGCAAACTCCATGATGCGTATCTAATGTAATTGTACATTTTATTTCATCAAAGAGACATTTAGGAGGCCAACAAACAAGAAGAAATGTCATGATGATTAATCATTGTTGTTGTTTTTAAGTGTCATCAAGTCATTTTAGCTTCATAGCAAACCTGTATTTAGATATCACTGGTTTACAAGGAGCGGCTGATGAGTTTGAACCACTGACCTTGTGGTACACACTGGTCTTGTGGTCCAGTGTTTACCTACAGCAGCACACCAGGACTTCCATTACAGAGAAAAAAATCAAAATAACAATGCGTTATCATCTCACCCCAGCATTAATAGCAAAGTTAAAAAGAAACAGAGAACAAATGCTGGTGAGGGTGTGGAGAGACTGAAACACTCTTACACCACTTGTGAGTCTGTAAAACGCTGTAACCAATGTGGAAGACAGTATGGCACTTCCTCAAAAAGTTGTAAATAGCAATATCATATCACCCAACAACCCCTCTACTTGGTATATATCCTAGAAAAATAGAGCCATGACACAAATAGTTATATGCACATCTATGTTCATTGCAGAACGATTCACAGTAGTCAGAAGACAGCCTACATGCCCATGAATGGAATTATGGATACTCCCAAATGCTGAAGAATAATGATGAATCTTTGAAACATCTCATAACACGGATGGACCTGGAGGACATTGTTGTTGTTCAGTGCCATTGAGTCAGTTCTGACCCATAGCAACCCTGTATAGGGTTTCCAAGGAGCAGCTTATGCTGACCGAAATTAGTCAATCATAAAAGGACAAATATTGTACGACACCACTGTCTTATAAACTCAATGAAAAGTTTTCATGTGAAAAGAAACATTCTTTGATGATTATCAGGGGTGGGAGGGAAGGAAGAATGATTAAATTCTACTCATAAGGGCCCTATATAGGGTTTCTGAAGAGCAGAACTGCTGACCTTGTGATTTGCAGTTCAGTGCTTATTCTAGAGTGTCACAGAAGGCTAGAGAGTAGACACATGTTAACTTGGGTGATGGAGAAGGAACTATACAACAAACGGGATGTTGGCAGAATAAAGATGAAGACAGGTGAAGACATTGGGAGTAATGGAATATTAAAGGAAATAGAGATAAACACTGTCATATACATCCTGCAACAACAGTGTGTCATGGATAGACAGATGGAGAGATATACAGGCTGAATATGTATGGGAGGGAGAGTGGGAATACACCCACAAGTATATAAACATTTAACAGAGGATATTTGCGTATGTGTATTAACCTTTGCTACAAACACACCAATTAATGTGGTGGAGCACACAGTGGGCTAAGTTATAAAATGTTCTTAGACATTACCAAACAGCTTGAGGCAATGAGTTGCTAGGCCTGGGACCTCAGGACCGTATTCTCATGGGATGCCATTATCAATTAGGATAACATAGTTCACAAAGACATATTCTAAATCCTACTTTGGTGAGTAGCAAGTGGGTTCTTAAAAGCTCATGAATGACCATTAAAGGTTCAACTACTGGTCTCTCCATGGGCAGAGAATGAAAATTGATGACACTGGTATCTATTTGCCCAATGGACTAATGGACCATGTGAACATCAGTGTCCAAAATCCTGAGGCCAGAACTAGTGCCAAGCTATCACTACCAACAGCTGTGAAAGGGATCACATAGACGGTACCGGAAAGACTGGGAGAATATGTGGAGCAGAAGTCAAAATTATAAAATAGACTGGCTTATTGGCCAGAAAGAGACTGGAGGAACCTAGGATTATGGTCCCTAGCCACCTTCAGGTCTGAAACTGAGATCACTCTGGTGACTAAGTTTTCTCCAAGAGGTAGATAGTCATATAGGAGAAACAACAACACACGTTATTGTTAGGTGTCATCGAGTTTGTTCCAACTCATAATGACCTCATGCACCACAGAATAAAACACTACCTAGTTCTGTGCCATTGTCACAATTGTTACGATTGAGCCCATTGCTGCTGCTACTATGCCAACTCATCTCATTGGGGGTCTTTTTCCTTGACCCCTTCCACCCCCACCCCCCACTTTACAAACAATGAAGCCCTTCTCCAGTAACTAGTCCCTCCTGTTTACCTTTCTGATGGTACATGGAGTAGATTGCAATCATTGCAATGACAGGATGTGTATAATGTGTTGATTGTGGGACTGATGGTCTGTTCTGTAAATCTTCACTGGATTCACAATAGAAAAGTTAAAAGAAAGAAACAACAACAACAAAAACAACAGTATTGGAGAAAGAAGTCCAAGCTGAATTGAAGGCATTGGTGAGAAACAAGGCTCTAGGTATTTACAGAATACAAATAGAAAACTTTAAAAATATTGGTGCAGCACTGGAGGTGCTCACTCATCTATGTCAAGACATTTTAAAGACAGCTACCTGGCCACCCTATTGAAAGATTTCTATATTTGTGTCCATTCCCAAAACAAGTCACCCATGGAATACAGATATCATCAGACAGTATCATTAATGTCACATGAAAATAAAAATTTTCTGAAGATAATTAAAAAATGGTTGCAACAATACATTGATAGGTAACTGGGAGAAATTAAAGCCAGATTCAGAAGAGGACACAGAACAAGGACTAACACTGCTGTCATCAGATGGATCTTGGCTGAAAGCAGAGAAGACGGGAAAGGTGTTCAGTTGTGCTTTATTGACTATGCAAAGGCTTTTGACTATGTGAACCATGTCAAGCTATGACTAACACTGTAAACAATGGTAATTCCAGAACACTTTATGGTGCTTATGAGAAATCTGTATATAAACCAAGAGGCAGTTATTTTAACAGAACAAGGGGACGCTGAATGGTTTTAAATCAGGAAGAGTGTTTGCCAGGGTTGAATTTTTTCACCATATTTATTCAATCTGTATGCTGAGCAAATGATCAGAGAAACTGGATTCTATGAAGAAGAATGTGACATCAGGATTGGAGGAAGATTCATTAACAACCTTTAATATGCAGATGATACAACCTTGCTTTCTGAAAAGGAAGAGGATTTAAAATATTTGCTGATGAACTTACTATTTACCTAAGTGTAAAGAAAACAAAAATCCTCACAACTAGACCAGTAAATAACATCAAAATAAATGGAGAAAAGATTGAAGTTGTCAAAGAGTTCATTTTGCTCAGCTCAACCACCAATACTCATGGAAGCAGCAGCTAAGAAATCAAACAACATATTGCATTAGGTAGATCTGCAGACCTCTTTAAAGTATTCAAAAGCAATGATACCAGTTTGAGGACTATGGCGTCCCTGACCTAAGCCATGGCATTTTCAATCACCTTATTTGCATATGAAAGTTGGACAGTGAATAAAGAATGCCAAAGAACACTTAATACATTTGAGATACAGTATTGGATAAGAATATTGAAAGTACCATGGACTGCCAGAAGAACAAACAAATCTGTGTAGGAAGAGCTACAGCCAAAATGTTTCTTAGAAGTCATGATAGCGTGACTTCGTCTCTCTTATTTTAGACATGTTAACTGGCATTAACCCACAGCACCACACCAGGACTCCACGAGAGGCTAGTAGGTGTGCACTATTGACCTTGGGTGAGCAGTCCAACACATAACCCATGACACCACCAGGGATCCTTGACATAGCACTTAGGTAGGGGTAATTAGATTCTGTCAATGAGAGTCTTCTCTGTAGTTAACAAACTGAGTTTTGTGCAACTCTGCTTCTATTGCTACTCCAGTTGTTTGAAAGTTGAGTACAAACTGATTCACCAAGAAATTTTAAGAGGTGTTTGCATAAACCCGGCTATAACAGGGAGACAAAAACAAGGACACCAGGGGAACTTAACAACCCTTACAACTGCAGCACTGAGGGCACAATGGTATAGCACTCAGCTGATAACCAAAAGTTCAATGGCTCAAACCACCAGCTTCTCTAGGATAAGAAGATGTGGCCGTCTGCTTCTCTAAAGATTATGCCTTGGAAGCAGTATGGGGCAGTTCTACTTGGTCTTATAGGATTGCTGAGTCAGCATCACCTGGACAGCAACTGTCTTGGATTATTTGGGAAGGCACAGCAAATATTAAACACAGTCCAATTCCTAGATACATTATCTCCTCTTCAGTTTCATCACAAATACTGGTTTTTACAAAAATAACTCAGCTTTCTCACCCATCTCATCATGAGTGGAACCTAAAAGTTGGAAAACATCCCAGAGAAAATTCCCCAAATAGCTAATGGCCTCTTAAATCACAGAGAAATGGATAGAGAATTCCTTGGAATCACAGGATGTGATCTTGTTCTGCTTGTCTTGTCTTTGGGAATCTTTCCTGGGTATTCTATTTTTGACTTTAGACATCAGTTTCATTATGTTTGCCCAATCAAGTCTGTTTCATTTCCAAATGTAATTGTATATGGATCTTGTGTTTTGGGGAAGACTAAGATCCAAAGGACTTGACTGCATCCCATTCCTCAAGAGAACTAGAGTTGGCTGAGATTCTGTCATCAGCTTTAATTTTTTCATGACCTTGCCACTATTTTTTTATATCTTGCTTTAAACAGAATTCTTTTCCTATCTTGGTCTTAGCTCCTCTCTGTGTGTCTTTCCTGGAAAAGGGGAATAGGAGAACGCATCATGCTGGAAGATGGCAAGAAGAGTGGAGAGAATTAAAAAGGAGAATAGGCAACACTTTCTGTTGAGGATGGGGGAGGAGCAAACAAAGAAAGGGTGTCTCCGGAGTGAAGGTGTACTATCGCAAAGTGAGTGGTCACTCTTCATAGCTGACCCTCTCCTGACCTGGCTCCACCCCTAAGAGACACAGCTAAGCCTTGACCAATGGCCTTAAGGTATCAGGAGGGGCAGGGGGCCAAAAGGTCCACAGTGAAGAATAAAAGGGCTCACCTACCAGCAGCAGCACAGACCTGTTTCTGGCACATTTGTGATCACCAGTAAACTCCCAAAGCCAAACCATGGTGCATTTTACAGCTGAGGAGAAGACTGCCATCACAAGTCTGTGGGGCAAGGTGAATGTGGAAGAAGCTGGAGGAGAAGCCTTGGGAAGGTACGTTTTGGGTTTCCATGAAAGGGAAAGAAGTGTCAATACAAGCCTGACAAGTTGACCAGAAATCTCTTTAAGATTTCTGAAACTTTAATTTCTATCTTCTATGGTCCCATTTCTAGGCTCCTGGTTGTCTATCCCTGGACCCAGAGGTTTTTTGACTCCTTTGGCAACCTGTCCTCTGCCTCTGCCATCATGGGCAACCCCAAGGTCAAGGCTCATGGCAAGAAAGTCCTGACCTCCTTTGGAGATGCTGTTAAGAACATAGACAACCTCAAGACTGCTTTCGCTAAGCTGAGTGAGCTGCACTGTGACAAGTTGCATGTGGATCCTGAGAACTTCCGGGTAAGGCCAGATGTCTATGTGCTCATTTATGCTTTTTACTTTAGAAGCCATGTCTTTGAATGTAAAGACCAATAAAGATCTCTGAAATCATAGATATAGGTTGGCTATTGGATTCAGAAGTATAGTCAGTAAGAGTTATTAACAGTCTGAGTTTGCTAACAAATTTTAGAAACTTTTGACAGAATGGGATATGTTCATTCTTAATGAATACTGGAGAATAGCAGAAAGGAGAAATACAGCTTGTCTTTGGCAGATTGAAATACATCAAAAAAGGAATGATAAAAGTCTTAGTTTGTGTGGATACTGTGGAAGGAAGTATAGCAAAAGATTATTGGGAAGAACATAAAAACAAATTTTTCCAAAAAAAAAAAAATACAACAAATGTTGAAAATATGTTAAATTTGTTGTCAGTACTATATCCAAGAAGACACTTATTGATGTTCTTAACTGCCTTTGAGACATTTCTGACTCACAGTGGCGCTAAATAGGGTTTTTGAGGAACAGCTGGTGAATTTGAATTGCTGACCTTACAGTTTAAACCAACCTTGCAGTCCAGTGCATGACCCCACAGCACCACTCTAGGATCTCAAGTAGAAGCTTGCTTCTACATTAAGTGGAAATTCTATAAAATCCTATGATTGTAAGAGTGCTACAATTTGTAAATGATTAAGGGAGGCAAACGAAATAGTACAATGGGGAGAAAATGTAGGGATATAGGCATGTTGTTGTTGTTATGTGCCAGTTAATAAATTCTGACCCTGTGCTTCCAAGATGGTGGGCTTAAACCGCCAAACTTGTGGTTAGCAGATTAGTTGCTGATCCTTCAGTATCACACCAGGACTCCATGTGTAGGCATAATGTTGAATAAAGAGAATATAAAAGGAGAAGGACATCACGCTAGGTAAAAAGGAGTGCCATCGACAAAGAGGAAGATTCCCAACAAGATGGATTGGCACAGTGGCAGCAGTAATGAGCTCAAGCTTAACAACAGTTGTGAGGCTGGTACAAGACTGAGTAGTGTTTCGTTCTGTTGTACGTAGGTCCCTAGGAGTCAGAGTTGATTTGACAGCACCTTAACGTAGTGGTTACGATTCGGGCTGCAAACCTTAATGTCAGCGGTTCGAAACTACCAGCTGCTCCGCTGGAGAAAGATGAGGCTTTCTACTCCCGTAAAGATTTACACCCTCGGAAACCCTGTACAGGGTCGCTATGGGTCGGAACCGACTCGACGGCACTTAACAACAACAACAACAGCAGTACAACACCAAAAATAATTGAACCCAGATATCATTTCCTCTGATTTTATTGGAACAGTTTGATATAGGGAGGGGGAAAGGAGTGAGGATATTCGATACTCTTTCATGATAATTATTTTTAGAAAATTTTTTTCAACTCAACTCTGTCTTATTTATTTATTTATTTATTTATTTTTTAATCTGACAGCTCCTGGGCAACGTGCTGGTGATTATTCTGGCTACTCATTTTGGCAAGGAATTCACCCCTGATGTGCAGGCTGCTTGGCAGAAACTGGTGGCTGGTGTTGCCAATGCTCTGTCTCACAAGTACCACTGAGTCAGCTTTTCAGTGAGCAAGTGTTGCTGCGTATACAACATCCTTGTTCTTCACAAGGGGACTAGTCCTCGGTCTTGAACCTACAGTTTCTGTTTAATAAAACGCATTCTATTCAGTAATCAGTCAAGATTTGATACTTTATTTTCTCCATGTTTTACTCTTGGGTTAAAGGAGGAAGGGTTTCTTTGCTGAGGGGTGGGGTACACATAGGGATGGGGACTCATCAAAGGAATTTTGAAGTTATGGGAGGCTTTTGAAGGGTCAGAAAGTATATCAAGAAGTTTAAGAGATTCTTTGGGGATAGTAAAAAGGATTTTAAAAAGTGGGCAAGGACCTGTGGTGAATTTTGGCAAGAACTTACTCCAAAGAGGGGAAGAAACAAGGTAGTAAGTAGTGCCTCTGGAAAGGAAAATTAAAAAAAACAGATTCAGGGTGCATTCGATAACTCTGTTTTAAACAAAAACTTTGTAGAATCCAACTTCTAGGCTAGGACTACTATTTTAGTTGCATTAGTGTACATTCTTAAGTAGGTTGACATGGAAATAACAGATAGAATTTGGAGATGACTGGTAGCTCTTCATGAAAGGGCCCTTTGACCAACCATTGCAATCTCTTTCCTGAAAGATGCCACTCTTTCACTGGGGAGCCAAAAGTTAATTGCATTATTATTCATTATCCTATTATAGAATCTAACATGCACTAAAATGAAGTCAGAGCTGAACATGTTGGTGGGGACGTAGGTCATAAGATACTAATAAAGACAAAGTCTGAAACCAGAAAGTTAAGGTTTGGTGCAAAGTAGTAATGTTACCAACCATTCTTCCACTTGCCTCTCTGCTCAGCTAGGTTCTATAAATCATTACAGTGGCCACAAAGAACTCAGACATCATACTGATAGTTCTGGGATTTATTAAAGAAGTTAACAGGTTACAATTCAGGGTCAGAAATTCTCAGGGCACAGTTGTTCCTGTCAGAGCAATGTCTCCTATATCCACATTATTAACAAAGCTCTTTCAGGCTGCTGATAAATAACCTCAAGTCACAACACTCCACCTCAAGCCTCAGTCTGAAGGCACTCAGTTCTAACACCACGGGTCATCAAACAGCCTTTCCACCCTCCACTGCACAATAAAGTTCCTGGAGATATCTCACACTGCAAGCAAGTCTCCTGCCCAAAGTCATTCAACTTTACTTGATCTATGGGCTGGAAGCCCACTGTTCTATCTTGTGTTCTGGTTCTTGGTTCTGCTGCTGCTACTCCTCTGCCACTCTTCTGGTATCACAGCTTTTTGTCTCTGAATCAAGGAGGTTCAATGCACAGGTATATCTGGGTCCAAAGGACATGTTCCACTTCTGGCTCTTTGAATGTAATGAGATCCTCGCTTCTGTTTCTGAGATGGTCCATTTTACACCTTTGTTAGAATTCCAAGTTTTTTAATCACAACTTACTTTGCTAGCAATCACAACTGAATCATATCATCCTATCAGCATCTTCTCTAACTTTAACTTATCCACACTTACCAAGGAAAAGCTGTTTGGTGGGAGTTACAAGGGCTTTCAGTAAAAGAGCCTTATGGTAGTCTCTGAGGATCAGACTTTAGCCACCTAGCAGACATAGCAAAATGTCCCTCATCTGATTATTCAGTTATGCTGGTTAGTAATTCCATACATGAGCCCTGGATACCCACAGATAAATGTAAAAACTTTCCCTAAAAGCCGAGACTGTAAATTCCAAAAAGGCACAGTTTTCCCCCAAAAAAAGCTAAAGAGGATAGAGAGAAACTCTGTTAACTGATGGTATGTGGAGGCGATTATAATCAATGTAATGAAACAAGATATATGAATGTTTGAATGTGAAACCGATGATGTGCCCTGAAAACTTTCACTCAATCCACAATAAAAACCTTAATTTTTTTTAAAAAAAGGAATAGAAGGGAAATTCTTCAACAAAATTAAGGGCATATTTACCAAAAAAAAAAAAAAAAAGCCTTATGGAGTAATCTACTATATTGCTCTAGATAATTGGCAGGATGTCTGTTCTCTAGAAGTAATTTGGTGTTAAGTATTAGCCAATAAATTCCAATTCATAGCAACCACATGTCATAGAAGAAAACTCCTCAAGTGGGTTTTCTAGGTTGGACTATTTTAAATATAGCAGACCAGCATGTTTTTCTTCTGGGGAGTGGTTGAATGGATTCAAACTGCTCACCTCTTGTTTATCAATGAAATGTAAAATCACTGTACCATCAGGGCTCAAAGTAGAGGGTGAGTGAAAATTAGGAAAGAGTATCAGGAAAGTGCAGACAATGCAGGATATTGAGTATGAACATGAAGCCATTACTATGCTATTGGCAATAGTAATCAACTGATATTTTAAAAATGTTAAGTGACTCAAGGAAAAGGATTTTTCTCACAAGTAATCTGCTTATTCACACAAAATAGATTTGAAGTTGTGAGAGTAAACATGAGATAATATTCTAGGGAAACAAACATGATGGCCTAGAATAGAGAAGAGTAATAAAGCCTGAAAAAGTGAAGGATGAGCAAGGTAGAGGGAGAAGGACATGAGATTTGATTGGTTATGGAAATCTGAAAAATAGGCTGTTAGATGAATGAAAGTCCCTGGCCTGGGTGAAAATACTAAGAGGAGGCCATGGGAATCCTAGCAATCTCCTTTGTGTCAATGGCATTGACTGAATCACTTTGGGGTACAGAGGGTGTTTGGGTCTTCAGGATCAAAATTAACCTCTTTTCCAGGGCTAGATACCTTCACATTTTCCAACTTGGAATGTCAGATCTTGGCAGACTTAACTGTTAGGGATTTCATTGCTCTATGCATTGATCAGAATTTGGCTTGTGGATTACTTCCAATTATGTGTCTTATTTTAAAAAGATATGTTATTTTTTATATAGGGTTCAGAGCCTTTAAAACTAGATGTTTTAAAATCAGTATAGATAGGTGACCCACAATAGGACTGAGTCTAGTGGGCATTATAGTTACTGAATATTAATAGCATTGGCCTTTATAAATATTTCATTGTTTATTAAGTGATGTGGAGTTAGTTTGGACTCACAGTGACCCTGTATAGAGTTCCTGAGGCTTTAAATCTTCAGGAACAGAAAGTTTCATCTTTCTCTTGTGGAGTAGCTGATGGCATCAAACCACAGACTTTGTGGTTCACAGTCCAGTGCTTATCGTATGAAGCCACCACACTCCCCTAAGTCTTTGATAAAGTTCACTACATAAAGGCCTCTCGTAACATGAAAAGTTTTTATCTAGTCTCCAACAAATGACTTTGATGTAACATTTTAAATTAGTCAATCTCTTTTCCTTTTCTTGTTTTTCAGCTATTAATCTGGCTCAAGAGTGGTAATAATGGAGTAGTGAGCAGAAGCTATAGTCTTTATTCCTAGAGATCTGGCTCTAGATCTTGCTATTTCTAGTCTAAGTACTTAGTTACTGACAACAAATTCTTATTTAATATTTATACACACACACACACAAAAGAATTGGACCACTCAATATATTTAATATATTAATAAATGAATAACTAATTCTTATCAGTAGACAATAGAAGTCACTCAATTAAATAGTATTGTCATGTACAGGATAATCTTAGGATATTAATCATTAAAGACTACAAAAGAATGAGAAATTATGTCATTACCAGAATTAAATTCTGTAATGTCTTTCACTTCCCCACCACTGAAGACAGATTCTAAGTTATAAAACCATGCTTCTGCTGCAATATTTCCCTTACATTTACTATTACTATTACATACTTACATTTACTATTACACATCATATATTACATATCAACTTCATAGGCTTATTACTGAACTATTATCCTGAGGATTTGCTATTTTTCCTGCTTTAGAGCTTTATATTTTCTACTCAAACTTCTAGAAAATGTATTTCTCAATACCTTCCCATGGCAAGTATCTTTTTGTTCCGGTTAAAATAACACGTGCTCTAAGAGATCATTCTCATCATGTCCAGATATTAATTTTCTTCATAACAAAAACTTTATTAATAAATATTTGAAAATACATTATATAGCTTTTGAGGAAAAATAATGTTTGTAGATGACGATTAATGCAATGTCAGGCACAGTTACATGGGAAAAATGGAGGCTGGAACACCTATGGACAAAGAACTCTCAACAAGCTTTTGGAAATGATTATCTCAAAACATTAGAGAAAAGCAGTAGTTACACATGTTACTGGATCACTGCGAGCATTTCTCAAAAGACAGAAAGACCATTCACACACAAGAAGGATCTTAAAAGTCTCGCAATCTGAGAAGGAGCAATTAAGAGTCATTGATTGGTTAAGGGAGTTCTGTAGGAGCAGCACCGGGCTGTGAACTACAAGTTTTGTAGTTTACCCCATCAGCCACTGTGAAAGATGGAGGCTTTCTACTTCCACAAAGATTTACAGTTTCAGAAACCCTATGCTGGGTTGCTGTGAGTCAGAACCTACTGGGCAGCACTTAACAACAGCAACAGCAATTTGCTAAAGCCTTCAGAAGCTTGGACCCTAGCCTCTGAGTTACTTTCCTAGGCTAGTCTCCACTCACTGAATCCACAAGGATTATCAGATATGGTCAAAGACCTATCTAAACCCATTGTAAAATCACTAGTTTTAAAGGTACAATAAAAGCCTCTGCCACTAAACCTTAGGTTGGAAGTCTACAGATGATCATGGTTGTAACAGGAAAATAACTATTGAAATCTTGACAATTTTCTTCAGACCTTTTAGTCATCCTCATCAACAAATAACGATAGGCTTCACATGAGTTCATAAACACTGAAAGAATGCTGTCAATAACATCATTTTTGACAAACTGATAGGCTAGGGTACACAATTAATATGAAGACGGAGATACCACAGATAGCTTTTTAAATCTATATCTGCATATGATCATCATATCTAGTCTGAGAGGCAAATAGCCAAGATATATTTCCCAAATTTGAGGCATCACATTATAACAAGTCTGAGATTACTTGAAACTTTCAGAGAAAAATAAAAATGACAACAACAACAACAAAAATCCCATCTGTTAATTCTCTCTGACACATTAGAAATATGACCTGTAAAAATTACACTGGATTAGAGAAAAAGGTGTCTACTATATACTGATGTTCCAGCTCTGGCAATACGTAGACTATTTTTCCATTAATAGCGCCCCTGCCTCTTTAGACTTAGTTTAACAAGCATGCGGTAGAAACAAAGGAGGCACTAACTCACATTAAGTCTTAGACTAAGATTGGTTTACAAGTGGACTCAGCATACACTGCATAGAACTCATTTAAATCTACAGTACCTGTCAAGAAATCTTTTACTTCAGTCTCCATCAAGAAAAACAGAGTTTCACAATGCCAAAGCCTAGGGCATCCATCCAGCACGTACATTTACATAGTAGGAAATACACATAATCTAGTACAGGCACATATTCAAATGACATGGAGGTGAAGACTTTTGCTCAGAGGAGCAGCCTGTCTTTGTTTCACACAGATTCAGGTACACAGATACTAATGTAAGGGTTCAAGTCTAAATTACATTACTAACACTATTAGATTCCTGCACTCAAACTGATACTTCCTGGGAAGAAGTGACTATTATGAGCTGAAGAAAACATAGATTCAGTCTGAATCACAAAGCAACTCTCCCTATGATCATCACAACACTTTCCCCTTGGACTTCACCTATCTGAATGAGACTTATACTTAATCCAATCAGAATTCCTGTGGCTGTGCCTATAAGAACCTCAAAGACCCTTAACTTCCCATATTCATTGTCATGCTTTAACTTTAATCTATAAATATCTCTGGGGTTAATAACAAGAATGTAAAAAAAGTTAGCAAGGAAGTCCTAGTGTTTTGTATGAGGGGAGAGAAGGAGAGTAGATAAAGGAGAGAATAATGAGAAACCAATTTGAGTAATTGATCTAGAATCAGGAAAGTAAAAAATCATGAGCACCAGAGTCCTCCTATGGTCCCTCCACCCCCGTCACTATCACAGATGCAAATGTCCATCTTCACCCTTCCATGACTAAACCCCACCCTTGTGGAGGACAGTCCAGGCTTAACCAATAGCCTTATAGCAATAGGAGGAACAAACAGCCAGTGGTCAAGGATAAAGAATAAAAGGCCACATGTTCGAACAGCAGTAAGTAGAACTTTCAGACACATCTGTGGTCACCACAAACTCCAAGACCAGACACCATGGTGAATTTTACTGCTGAAGAGAAGGCTGTTATCACAAGCCTGTGGGGCAAGATGGATGTGGAACAGGCTGGAGGCGAGGCACTAGGAAGGTAGGTTGTGGGCAGTGGAGAAGGGGCGGAATAAAGGAAGCTGAGCCTGGCAGGAATGCAGGCCAGTTGACAAGTTTTGTGACAAACTCTGATTTCCCACCTGCTGTGACTTTATCCTATAGGCTCCTGGTTGTCTATCCTTGGACCCAGAGGTTCTTTGACAGCTTTGGCAACCTATCTTCTGCCTCTGCCATCATGGGCAATCCCAAGGTCAAGGCCCATGGCAAGAAGGTGCTGAACTCTTTAGGAGATGCTGTTAAGAACCTGGACAACCTCAAGGGCACCTTTGCCGAACTGAGTGAACTGCACTGTGACAAGCTGCACGTAGATCCTGAGAACTTCCGGGTGAGTATAGGAGGTGTTCATGCTCCCTTGTATAGATATAGACAGGTGAGCACTGATCTGAGCACAGGTTAAGTCCATCTATGAGCTATGAGACATTTGTAGATCTTGGGTTGGTAATAAAGCAACCCCAAAGATGGCTAAATTCAAACTAAGTGGTATGGCATAAAAGCCAGTGTTTCTAGGAGTCTAGAGTGGCTTGTCTAAGGATTGTTAACCATTAGAGGAGACTTGTAGGGAGATGAGGAAAATGTCTTTTGGTAATTTGAACCCTGCGGTAACAAAAACTTTGCCTTTTTTCCTTCTCCATCTATCACTTCTCATCCCCCATATATTGAAGTTAGAAAAAGAATGTCCCAGGGAAAGATACATGCAGGCATATATTGGTTAAATATAACATAGAAATCTGGGTAGTCATTCATATATTATTAAGACTAGTCTTACATTAAGGAGCTCTAGTAGCATAGTGGTTACAAGTCAGACTGCTAACCTCAAGGTCATCAGTTCAAAACTATCAGCAGGGTCTCTATGAGTCAGAACCAACTCCACAGCACACCACATTCATTTATTAGCTAGACATTTATATAAAATCTGCTAATGATGCCTTTCAAACTTATTTCCTAAAACTCTAAGAGTAGGAATGAATGTTTCTGACAGAGGGAAATAACTGGAATATGTGGCCAAGAAGGGTATGGAATAGAAAGTTGTGAAGTTTTCTTTCTTTCTTTCTAAAACAAAACAACAAAAAAACAACTGTTTGTAGGTAGTGCTGGTAAGAAGTTCAAAATGTGAAATAAGAATAGGGGCAACACAGAAAAGAGAATCAAATTAGTAATGTTTAATATCTGGGCAAAATCATAGACTTATACTAGAAGGTGACATAGACTTGGGTCTGATCAGTAATTGGGTGGTCAGATATTTTGAAGATAGACTAGAGTTCTCTGCTAACTATAAGAATCCATATAAACATGTCTGTTGTCTTTTTCCATCTTCACAGCTACTGGGAAATGTGCTAATGATTGTTTTGTCAAACCACTTTGGCAAAGAATTCACACCCCAAATGCAGGCTGCCTGGCAGAAGTTGATGACTGGTATGGCCAATGCCCTGGCTTCCAAGTATCACTGAACTCCTCAGAACTGGGAGAAACCTTATTCTTCACATGATAAAACACTGAATAAAAGTGTTCTTCCAGAAATAAGAATTAATGGACTTCTGTTATTTCTTTTTCATGTAATAAATGAGTTTCCAGAGATGTTATGTGCATATTTCCTATACAATTGTTGCAAAAGATTAGGAATCTTAACAAGAAAAAAAAAAAAAAAAAAGAACAGGACAATAAAGGAATGTTGTTGTTAAGTGTCATTGAGTCAGTTCTGACCAATAGTGGCCCTATATAGGGTTTCTGAGGTGCTGCTTGTGAGCTTGAACCACCGCCCTCGTGGTTCAAATTGACTTTGCAGTTCAGTGCATTTACCCACAGCGCCACACCAGGACTCCAATAAAGGGATATACACTGGATTTTACAAGGGAAAACAAAAGCTCTGGGAGAGTTTGGGTGGGAAAGGAAGAGGTCTGTGGGACAAGGGCTCCTCAGAAATAGAAAATGTTGAGGGGTGTAAAGAATCTTCAGAGAAAGTAACAGAGGTAAGATGAAGACAGAGTAGCAAGGATGAGGTTTATTTGTGAAAACTTAATCCATATTTAAGAGGTCAAGGCCCAGGCAGGGACTGTAATTGAATTTAATTAAGTGAAATTTATATTATAAGAGTACCTGGCTTTTCACAGTCCTCTTGAGACAAGATTGGAATGGGAGAGATTGGACATCAGAGTGAGGTGTTGTTTTTGTTAAATGCCATTGAGTCGATTCTGACCCATGGCCACCCTGTATAGGGTTTCCAAGGAGCAGCTGATGAGCTTGAACCACCGATTTTCAGTTCAAACTACTTTACAGTCATTAGCCCACAGTGCCGCACCAGACCTCCAACCTTTTTTTTTTTTTTTTTTTTTTAATGTTTTATTGTAAGTTATGTTATAATTTACATGGGAGAACATTAGTTTTACATTCATCCTATCGTATATCATTTCATTGCCATGGTTACAATCCCCTCCATGTATCCATGTATCATCAACCAACTAAAGGGTATACACTACAAGCTTGCACACACACCCTTCCCCCCCCCACCCCCGGTCATCAGCACACAGCCCTTCTCTGTCTCTGTGTCTAAAGTACCCAACTGCTCCATCTCTCCCCGTCATCGTCTCTGCCTCCATCTCAGGCATCACTGCTTCTCTGGGTAAGGTCCCGCTTTCTGCTCTTCTCCCTTGACGGTCCCAGGGACCTCTGCTCCTAGACTGCAAAGTTAATCACTCCCTTCCTCACTACAAAACATTTGCCTTTACATTTTCAACCCTCATAATCAGTCCTGATAACAATTATTCACTATTGTATCACAAGAGACCAATCCGCATTTCCTTTCATCAGCCCCACCTAGACAGATTGGATACTACTCAGTAGGACTCCAACCCTTTTAAAGGCTAAATATTAAGAATTGATCATGAGCTTTCCTGAAGAAATTTATGGTTAAGTGGTGAGCCTTGCATAAGAAAGTTAAAACTGACCATATGCTATCTCCTTTGTAAATTAGCTACAACATTTCACAGAAGATAAACCACGGTAAGCTCTAAGGTGAGAGGGGACAAATATGGGGGAAATGCATTAAGCCAGAAGCCAGCACCAGCAAATCATGTTTAATAAACAGTTCAGCACTATGATGTTTTAATTAAGTGGGAAAGAAACTATACAGAAGAGTTCAGAAGGTCAGACGAATTGGAGTTAACAAGTGTAATATCATCTACAGGAAGTCAGGGAGATGTAGGTACTGAATGAATAAGAGACTATGCTAGTTTCAGGTTTGCAATTCACCTGTTTTCCATGCATGTGGAACAAATTACTCACCCGTACTTAAGAATTGATGCTTTTGAGTTATGGTGTTAGAGGGGAACATTGAAAGTGCCCTGGGCTGCCAAAAGAACCAACAGATCTGTGTTGGAAGAAGTGCAGCCAGAGTGCTCCTTGGAGGCCAGGCTGGCCAAATTTCGTGTCTCATACTTCAGACATATTGTCAGGAGGGACCAGTCACTGGAGAAAGATATCATTTTTGGTAAGGTGGAGTGTCAGAGAAAAAGAGGAAGCCCTCCACCAGGATGGATTGGCAATGTGGCAGCATCAATAGGCTCAAGCATGGCTACAATTGTGAGGTTGGCCCAGAAAAGGAAGTGTTTTGTTCTGTTGTATATATGGTTGCTATGAGTCAGTGACGACTCGATGGCACCTAACAACAACAAAAACTTCCACCTTCAAGGAGCCCTGGTGGAGTAGTGGGTTATGTATTGGGCTACTAGCCTCAAGGTCAACAATTCAAATTCACCATCTCCTCCATGGGACAAAGACGAAGTTTTCTGCTTCTATAAAGTCACAGTCTCAGGAACTCTGTACACGATTGCTATGAGCCAGAGCACACAAACATCACCACCATCTTTCTCATCTTCAATATCCAGATATAAAGGCATGGACTTATCTCTACAAATAGTGCTTCCTCCAACTCTTTCCCAGAGTGCATCAGTGTTGTATCCTTTCATCATATTTATCCAAACTGCATACTGAGCAAAAAATCCAAGAAGCTGGACTATATGATGAAGAATGTGGCATCAGGATTGGAGAAAGATTCAGTAACAATCTATAATATGCAGATAACACAAACCTTATATGCTTAAAGTGAAGAGACTTGAAGAACTTACTGAAGAAGATCGGCATGGATTATGCCTCAATGTTAGTATATATTATATATAATATATCACAACTAGACCAATAAGCAACATCATGATAAACTGAGAAAATGAGAAAATACTGAAGTTGTCAACTGATGTATTACACTTGGAAAATCTTCTGCAACAGACCACTTTAATTGTTAAAGAGCAAATATTTCACTTTTAGGAATAAGGTACACCTAAACCAAACCTGGGTTTTTTAAATACGCATGTGAAAACTGGACAATGAGTTATGAAGACCAAAGAAGAATTGATTAATTTGAATTATGGTATTGGTGAAGAATATTGAATATAACAAAAGTTACCAGAAGAATGAACATTTTTTCCTTGTAAGAAATACAGCTAGAATGCTCCTTAGTTCAAAGATGGAAAAAAATTTGCCTCTTATACTTTGAGCATGTTATTAGGAGCAACCCATTCCTCGAAAAGGACATCTACTTTGGTAAAATATACAGAGAAAAACGGGAAGGCCTTCAACAAGATGGATTGAGGCCATGACTGCAACAATGGGGTCACACATGGGAATGGCTGTGGTAACAGTGCCGGACTAGCCAGTGTCTCATTGTGCTGCACATAGGATTGCTATGAGTTGGAACCAATTCATCGACAACTACCAACAATACTCTTTCCTTAACATATTTTCCTCTAACCTTGTAGTTTCTCTAAAATGTGACACCAAGATATTTTTTTTCTATTTTTGCTCTTTGTCCTAGCCTCAGAATTTTGTACTTTTCTGCTCATTTTTACAGAAATTCTTTGTGTTTTCTTTCATCTTTTCACTAAGGCCACACTTCAGAAAGAGTCTCCTTTAGACATCTATCCTGATATTAATTTTCTGTAATACCTCATTATTATTTCATCCATATATTTTTTCTTTCTGTCATATAACACCATGTCACAGTCTCCTATTTATTTACTAAATTATTTATGCTGGATACTTAGAATCCAAGCACTATGAGATCAAACATCTAATTAGGAAGACTTTCTCTATGAATTACAACTGCATTAGAAGACCTTTCCACAAACATTGGTATTTTATGGACATATTTTTATCACAGAACTTAGCAGTATTCCTATTTACACACTATGCTTGCTCACTTATATTTACAACAGTAAATATTAACCTCTGTTAGGGCAGATACTTTGTCTGATAAACTCTTCTTAGCATCAACCATAATGTGTTGTACAAACTTTATAGTCAGTACAAATTTGGTAAATTAAGAAAAAATAGTTATTACAAAAGCAGACTTATTTACTCTACATTATGAGTATTCCACTACTCCTAAAAAAGTTTGTTTGGACAAAGGAGCCCTAATGGCACTATACTGATAAGTTCTGGACTGCTAACCATGAGGTAGGCAGTTAAAACACATCAGTTGCTCTACAGAAGAAATATAAGGTTTTCTGGTCCAGTAAAGAAACAGCTGTAACATCCATTGAAAATTGGAACATGGAATGTACGAAGTATGAATCTAGGAAAATTGGAAGTTGTCAAAAATGAAATGGAACGCATAAACATCGATATCTTAGGCATTAGTGAGCTGAAATGGACTGGTATTGGCCATTTTTAATCTGATAACCATATGGTTTACTATGCAGGGAATGACAAATTGAAAAGGAATGGTGTTGCATTCATCATCAAAAAGAACATATCCAGATCAGTCATGAGGTACAATGCTGTAAGTGACAGGATAATATCCATGTGCCTACAGGGAAGCCCAGTTAATACCACTATTATTCAAATTTATGCACCAACCACTAAAGCCAGTGAAGATGAAATAGAAGAATTCTACCAACTTCTTCAGTTGTTCGAACAGAACATGGGAACACTGAATGTTTTAAAATTGGGAAAGGTGTGAGACAGGGTTGTATTCTTTCGCCATACTTATTCAACCTGTATGCTGAGCAAATAATACAAGAAGCTGGGTTCTGTGAAGAAAAATGTGGCGTCAGGATTGGAGGAAGACTCATTAACAACCTGAAATATACAGATGATACAACCTTGCTTGCTGAAAGTGAAGAGGACTTGAAACATTTACTTATTAAGATCAAAGAGCACAGCCTTACATATGGATTGCATCTCAATGTCAAGAAAACAAAATCCTCACCACTGGACCAATAAACAACATTCTTATCAATGGAGAAAAGATTGAAGTTGTCAAGGACTTCATTCTTCTTGGATCAACTATCAACATTCGCAGAAGCAACAGTCAAGAGATCAGACGACGTATTGCATTGGGTAAATCTGCTGCACAGGAACTTTTTAAAGTATTAAAGAGCAGAGATGTCAGCTTGAG